GAGAGAGAGAGAGAGAGAGAGAGAGAGAGAGAGAGAGAGAGAGAGAGAGAGAGAGAGAGAGAGAGATTTTTTTCAACTTTTTTGTAAACTGTCACCATAACAACCCCTTTTCCACCCAGACGAGCAGATCCAAAATTGAAACAGCTTTACCTCTATAGCAAACAACATGAAGCACACTAAGATGAGCAGCTCCAAGATTGAAACAGCTTTACCTGTATAGCAAACAACATGAAGCACAATGAAACCGTTTCCTTGTACAGTCCTTCCTTCGCTTTCTTACTTTGGCTTTCTTTGGGGTAAAATTTTTATTTCTCCTCGTTTACTGTGGCTCTAACGTACACGGCTTGCCACGCTGACTGTGGTTGAGCGCAGGCTGCCCACATCCCCGTGTGCCATTAAGGCCCACTTGCACGCTATGAAAGGAGGCAGAGTAGAGGAGGAGGTATACTCCTGTTCATTTTTCAGAGGGTCTTCAGCTTATATTTTGTCTGCACTCTCAAAATGATGCTGACTCGTATGCCTTCAGTGATATTACAGGGCAGGGCTTGGACAAGCGCTTGAACCAGGGCTTGAACCAGGGCTTGAACCAGGGCTTGAACCAGGGCTCGAACCAGGGCGCGACTTGAGCCGGGGTCATGAACAGATAGCAGGCTGCTGATTTGCTAACAGTCCAGCACCAGCAGAAAAGTCCGTTGGGAATGAAGTCGTCGATTATCTGCCTGCTTGGGAGCAGCCTGTCTACAGTGTGCAGCCATCACCAGCCCAGACTGGTCATGCTGAACCTAGACTGAAAGTTGCCCCAAATACAGTGAAAATGATTGTGGGTTAGACTGATCAAGCGGTTATGACCTTATATGTATCAATCAATCCTCCGAAAGATAACAGCCCAGCAAAAGGCGGGGATGCATATCTGTCACATGTCATACTCACTAGCATCCACACCACTGGAGCAGCCACACTCGAAGGAAGTTGAGCCGGAATGAAAACTCGCTTCTCGAGACTTTGCATGCCGCCATTTGAAGTGCAGCATGGACAAGTGACTCAGGACCTGCTACAAGTCAAATTGTTGATTTGCTACTGTCTTCATGCCAATCTAACCCGCAATCATTTTCACTGTATTTGGGGCAACTTTCAGTCTAGGCTCATGGATAATCATCGATACATGACTAAGGACCACCAATCAGGACAGCCTGAAGAGGGCAGGCACGCACCACCAAGGGCTGCGGAGGACAACTGGTCAGCATTCACTGTTTTCAGAGTCTAAGTGAGATTGTGAGCATGAGGCAACGCATCTGCACTGACCGTTGGACCAAATACAGGCCAGAGCAAGCAGATGAGGACCGACCTCGCCATCTACCTGAAATTGGAATGCGTATCAGTTCCCGTAGTGGACTTCGCGCTGCAAATGGGATGAGGATGAGGATGAGGATATCACCAGCCGTTTGACGAAACTCGTCTCACTGCCTCATTGGCAAGCTCCTGTCTATCATCCTCTTCTTCGTGATACACGACACGACGACGAGAGAGAGGAAGGTGTGCTGGTACGGCATCGAAAGGAGTTCTATATATGGTAGGAGTAATCTACTAATGCAAACTTCAAACTTCAAAGTAATTTTAAATTTTTAGATCAACTGCGAATTTACTACCTGGGTGAGAATTGGGGTTCTTATATTTCCATTTCCAAAACAGGGTGAGTAATTTTTACCTGGGTGAGTATTTTTTACTAATTTACTAATTTGTAGATCAACTGTGAATGCGGCAACGGGGTACGGAGCCCATGGTAGGAGGGGTTGGAATTTAGGGGTTGGAATTTTGGAATAGGGATAGTGCTACGATGGATAGTTTTGGGGGGCAAGGGAGAGCAATGAGGGGCTATGGTGAGACCAGGTGACTGGGTGGGTGCACATGGGATCGGGGCGCCCTGCGCGGAGACATCCGTAATGAGCGGCTGGGTACAGATGGATGCTTCTCGGCCATTACGAGTAACCCCGTGCAAGGGGGTAGCGTAGGGTGCCAGTGCTGCGTGCGTCCCCCCCCGCCCCCCTCCCGGAGCGACTTGGGCTGCGGGGGTATCTGGGTCTATCTCCGTTCTTCTGCATATGTACTTGATCTTTTTTTTTTCCCCCTCTTTGTTTTTTGTTTTATTTGTTTTTTGTCTTCTCCTCGTCGGCGGACAGCTATATAATTTTTCTCTCAATTTTTCCTCACATATATACACCTCAGCATGGGATGCTAAGGGTTATGGGTTGGATTCCTGGCCTCCCGACATTCTCCTTAGTGGATGGATCCCAGCCTTCTACCCGACTCTGCTCTATGCGGGGAGCAGTACCCGGCTCCCTCCACCTGGCCCGAGCTGGAAAGCGCAGATTCTTCCGCAACCAGCCAGGAGGCCCAAGCCAATGATCTCAACTGGTGAACCCGAAGTGTATCACAAGGGGCCACGGGGGATCGAATGGACGACGTGGGGAATCAAACCCACGACCTCCTGAATACCACTTTTACGTGCTCAACCAACTGAGGTAGCGCACTTGGGCATATGTACTCGATCTTGTTTTCTGCTTGGACTGCTGCTTCAGCCAACTGAGGTAGCCCACCGGTGGAAGTGCCAGCCAAAACAAAAAAATAAAAGTCAAGCTGGTGCTTCACCGAGGCCTGGCACACAGTTTTTTTCCACCTCGGCAAAAGGAGGCTCGGAGGTGGTGGTGGTTTGATGCACTGGGAGAGTGGGAGGGAAGGGGTGGACGAGGGGATGGGGGTGGCGGAGGAGCGTGCAAGAAATAAAATTAAAAAAGAGAAGCCAAATATTGTCATTTGTTTGTTGCCTATGCTGTCACAGTGGGTGGATGATTTTTTTTTGTGAATTTGATTTGCAGACGCTGTATGCAGTATGTCAAGCCATTTTGTCCGAATGCAATGATTCATTCAGCAACACGAAAGTGCCAGATGATATGTTGCTGCTCCATGTTTGCTCGAGTCCAAAAAAGTGAGGTTTGATTTGCTTTTATCGTTTTTCATCCTTGCCCTCTCCCTCTCTCTCTCTCTCTCGCTGACTCCCTCTGCCTCTTCCTGCCTCTTCCTTGCTTTATCCCTCTCTCTCTCTCTCTCTCTCTCTCTCTCTCTCTCTCTCTCTCTCTCTCTCTCTCTCTCTCTCTCTCTCTCTCTCTCT